TTGGCTTCAAGTATATGCAATCCATTTAACGCCCCAAACTACTCCAAAATGCACCAAAATGCACCCTTTTGCATACTTTGCCCTTAGAACCTGAAAACACACAAAAGAAGCATAAAGGACTAAAATAACTAAAGAAACATAACGTAAATGCACGAGAACAAGCCATTTAAGTCACATGAATATGCTCCTATCAAGCTTGTGGACTCTTCACTATAGCCCACAAACACACAATTATCACCTCGATCATCGAGCCTCCTCCTTTTGGCTTCTGGAACTTGAGCATATACAACACACCTAAAAAACTCTTAGGTGTGCAACATTCAGTTTGTATCCACTCCAAGCTTCTTGTGGTGTTATCTTCTTGACACTCTTTGTTGGACATAGATTCAACAAATAAATCGAACAAGCTACAACATACGCCCACAATTCTTTTGGCAAACCGTTCTCCTTAAGCATGGACCTTGTCATGTCAAGGATGGTTCGATTCTTTCTCTTGGCTGTCCTATTTTGTTGTAGGGTATAGGCAGTAGTCAGTTGATGCCTAATTCCTTGCTCCTTGCAGTATGCTTGGAAAGCATTGGAGGTGTATTCTCCACCTTGATCTGATCTCACAACCACAAGTTTGTGGTTGCTCTCAGCCTCTGTGAGTACCTTGAACTCCTTGAAAACCCTTAAGGCAGCCGACTTCTCCTTAAGAAAATAAACCCATGTCTTTCTATTAAAATCATCAATGAAAGTAATAAAATATCTATTACCTCCATAGGACACGGGATCTAACAGACTATATGTATTCGTCTGCACCAAATGTAGTGGTGCCTTTACTCTCTATTCTTCACCAATATGAAATGTGAGCCATGCTTGCTTGCCAAACATGTAACCTTCACATACTTGGCTTGTGGCTTCAATCTGGGGTAGACCACGAACCATTCCTCCACTTTACAACAACTTTTGGCCTTTAAAATGAAGATGGCCAAATCGAAGATGCCATTTCCATGACTCATCTTCCAACACACCGATGTTGAAACTTCTAATCTTTATGTTCAAATTCAACAGGAACATTCGGTTCTTTGACATTCAAATACATCCAATAAGCTTTCTCCTTGTATTCCTGAGAGTAAGAAGGATATTCTCTATATGTATAATGTATCATTTCTGGAGCAGTTGACCAATGCTCAGAATGTTGCTCTTCATTCCTAGTATGTAGTAGGTATCGGAAATGTATCCTTCTCTACCATCATTCCGGATGATCTTGATTTTCTCACCTTCAACTGGTATCTTTGAAGAGTCACTAAGACTCATAGATGCATAGGCCTCATCTTTGAGTTCGGCAAAAAACTCCTCATTCCTTCGCATATAGTTACTTGCACCAAAATCCAAATACCAAACATCTTGTTTGCTGTTGGAATTATGATGTGCTAGTAAGACTGTAAATTCCTCACCAGAATTTCCACTTGACTCTACCATGTTAACATGCTCACCATGTTTATATGAACATTTAATGGCATAATGTCCATATTCCTTGCAGTTGTGGCACTGGATATGTGCCTTTCCTTGAGCAGATTTCTACTCTTAAGACTAACCTCAATTTTGTGCATAGCCTTGACCTCTTCCTTGACCTCGTCTTTGGCTACGATTGGATGAACTTCCATGACGTGAGTTCCACTATCCACGACCTCCATTTGGTTTGTCAATATTCAACTTTGACTCCAAAGCTTGCTCTAACATTGTGGTGCTTGCATTCTTTTGAATGCATTGCTCGTGAGCTAGGAGAGATCCTAGCAGTTCCTATGCACTCATCGTCTCCAAATCCTTGGATTCTTCAATGGCAGTCACCACATGCTCAAAGTTGGATGTGAAGGATCGAAGGATTTTCTCCATAATACAAACATCGTCAAGCTTTTCGCCATTCATTTTCATTTGATTCATGATTGCAAGTAGTCGAGAGTAGTAGTCTGAAAAATTTCTCCCTATTTCATATGACAGCCTCAAAATATGCTCTTAATAATTGAAGTTGGACTATTTTTACTCGATCTACTCCTTTGTAAATTGTGCTCAGAGTGTCCCAAACTTGCTTGTTGGTTATTGGTTCTGCAACCTTCTCAAACGTTGAATCTTCTAATCCTTGACATAGAAAATACAATGTTTTCTTGTCTTTTATTCGTATGTCCTTGAAAGTGTTATATTGATATGCAGTGTAGGCGGCTTCTTGCTCAATAGTGGATTCAACATACCCAATACTGACAACTTGCCATAGCTCATGTGATCTAAACAATGCTTTGGTTGTAGATGATTGAATTATTAATTAAGTGTTGATAAACGTGCTTGTTTTTTTTTTTGGCAACACATTATTTGGTTTAAAAAATTTGGTCTCCTCAACCAAATCATTTAGTTTGCAAATTTTGTTTAAAAAATTTGGTCTACCTAGCATTACACAAAATCAAACAAGGCATTTGCACATTCAAAGATAAGCACATGTTGATGAAAAAAAAGGAAAGTTGTGCAGACAACCATTTCACCAATATGTAACTATTGGCATTTATTTTGCTTTGAACTTCCAACAGAAGCTTCATCTCTCGAACTTGTCGAGTGGTCTATGACACGCCCTAATCCCGATGTCCATGGGACAGCGGGATGGCCACGTGCTGGCCAACACCCGAGGGTAACGCAAACTGTTTAATGAATGCATATGCCGTGAACATGTGAAACATGCATATAAATTTCACGCAAACTACACAATGTAATATTCAAATATAAGCCTTACTAAAATAATATAATAATATTTAGCTGTCAAATAAAAAGATAGTGATAATGCATGACATGTTCAAAGCATTCATCTAATTCAGAATACAACTAGAGGTGTGACAGAAAGTGTTATTACAAGTTGTGCCAAAAGCAGAGAAGATGACACGTTATCAGTGGTAAGGGAATGCCTCGTAGCTAGAATCGTATGCCTCGTTCCTATGTCCTGAGGGGGTGCAAAACAAAACATGAGTAGACCAAGTTGACATTTAAATAATATTGAAATAGTTATTCAACGTACTAACCCCCAAAGTGTATGAAAACTCATAGCATAATATGTAATATGTTTTCCGAAAACCCTAACATGCCATAAAACCTCTCATAAAACATATATCGTGTATAATGTGCTAAATAATGGTATCAAGATCGCCCAAAGGCACATACCAAACACCCGGCCGAAGCCAATAATAATATCTTCCGGCTGTAGCCATCTACCAATGCATGGCCTAAGCCAATATAAGTGTCATTGCCAATAGGCAGAACAGTGACCACTAGATAAGCACAAAAATCAATGAACATAATATTTCCAAACATAATACATATATCTTGTTGGAGCTCAGTAGCTTAAACATGATATCTTAAAATATTTTCTTAGTATATAGTCATCCATCATATATACTGCAAAAAACATGAAAATTGATAAAGTATGGTATTCCAAAATATTCTTAGTAAAGCATGATGTCTCATAAAGTGTAAATGTAATTTACTCATAAACATTTCATAAAATGTAACCATTAAATCATGCTTTTCATGAATGCATTTCTAATAATAAAATATGCATTTTAGAAGGGGTTCACTCACAGATACTCCGTCGCCGAAGAGCCGTGCGAAATAGGAAGGACGGAAACACCGCTAATAAGCGCACCTAAGCACATAAATGGTCCAATTAATAAAACTCTACTATAATGATTGAATTTCGGAAAACGAACGTCATAAACGGATTCATGACATCGAAAAACATAAGGGGGAACCTCTGGTACCCCCATGCACCGCCACTCACTAGTAGCCCTTCACGCGTGCCCACGATTTGGCTTGGTCTGGGTTCTAACTGGGTTTGAGCTTGGGCCTGGGGTTCTGGGCCTGGCTTAGGGTCCTGGGCCTGGCCTAGGGTCCTGGGCTTGGGTTCCTTGGGCCGAAGGCCCAAGCTTGGATGGCCCAAAGGCCTGGGGTCCATTTTGGGTTTTGGGTTGAGGGTTTAATGGGTTAGGCTTTTGGGTTAATGGGTTGGGTTGGCCAAAAAGGCCTGTCCCATGGCCTAACAAGTTGGGCCGAACAAGGGTGATGGGTCGGGTGTCTGGGCACCACTTCAAACGCCTATAACTTCTTTGATATTCAACCAAATCAAGTGAAACAAAAACAAAATTGTAGTTCTCAACAAGATGAAGAGATTGATATATTGCACACTGGCCAACTCGTTGTGATTTGGCCGGAAAATGCCTCAAAAGTGGCGGTGCTTGCTAAAAAATTAGGAAAAGCTACTCCGAGCTATTTTATGCGATTAACACGTATGTACAACTTAAAACAAGCTTCGATATACTCTTAAAATACATCCCAAGAGTTTCTAGAAGTTTACCTTCGTTGAAAAATTCACAAAAACCACCGGTGCTCATCGGGGATGTGATCACCGTGACTGCCACATTTGAGGTGCCGTGTTGTTGGCTTGGGTTTCAAGGTTCAACGTCCAAGTCTTGGGGTCATTTTTGTAGTGAGAGTGAGTTCAGAGAGAGGTTAGTGAGATCACTGAGAGGGTGAGAGAGAGTTCAGGGAGAGATAGAGAGAAGAATAGAAAGTGAGAGAGAGAAACATAGATAGTCCTTGCAAAAATCAGAACAAGAAAAAAGAGGGGAGGGGGTCATGGATGGGAAAGAAAGGGGAAGACATGTGGGCCTTAGTGGCTCACAAAACGAGTTCATTAAAGATGAAATATGAAAATATCTGAAAATGTTCGACGTTTCAAATGTAAAATCTTCATTATAAATCCGATTCTGAATCTGTTTATGCCTACATGTTCGTGGTGATAAGTACATTAAAAATCATTTAATAAACTTAAAGCTACGTGTTTCAATGAGATGACCAAACAAGGTCAACTCAAGGGCAAGAAGGTAATTTCATAAATCCGTCAATAGGAAACTACACTACATTTGGGACGAGGTTTCACATTCTACCCACCTTCAAAGAATTTCGTCCCCGAAATTACAATATCAAATAAATAAGTACGGATATTGACTCCTCATCAGTTCCTTCGTTTCCCACGTCGCTTCCTTGATGGCATGGTTCCTCCATAACACATTCACTAATAGAATGACTTTGTTCCTTAGAGTTTTATCATGTCGATCAATGATCGCCACAAGTTTCTCAACATAACTTGCATCCTGACTCACCTCTAACGGTTCCGGCTGAATGACGTGAGAGAAATTCGGTACATACTTCTGAAGCATGGAAACATGAAATACATCGTGAATCTGTGACAGCTCTGGTGGTAGCTCCAATCTATGAGCAATCGCACCAATTTTCTTAGTGATTCGGTAAAGACCAACATATCGAGGACTCAACTTTCCTCGCTTACCAAAATGAACCACACCCTTCCAGGGCGACAACTTCAGGAAGACAAAATCACCCATCTTATACTCACGATCCCTAGAATGTTGATCCGCAATGCTCTTCGGTCAATCTTGTGCTGCCTTCAGGTTCCTCTTTATCAACTGGATATTAGTAGTAGTGGTATCGATAATTTATGGTCCCACTAACACTTGTTCACCGACCTCAGTCCAACACAAGGCTCCATCTTTCTAGATTTTCAAATCTCCCTTGGAACCATTCCGCACCTATTCCATTTCTCACTCTGCACTAAACTTTAGAAGCTTGCTCTCAAATGTGTTAATATTTTGTATATTTAGTAGAAAATGTCAAACCCAGTTTTATTGAAGAATGAGTGCGATTTTCATGTATGCCCGGGTAACCTATACTCTTGTAGTTTTTGGCCTATAAATCGTTGGTCAAAGATCAATAACAACTTAAAAGGTAAGAGGATACGATACATCGGAGCATAACATAATATTTCGAGAATGAAGATGACGCGTACAATCCGTCCACGAAACAGTAGATGTTGGAGGGTTGTTAGGCAAGTCATGATGTGGAGTTTGCCGGTTTAGAACCACGTAATTTCGATACGTCTCATTGTTGCATAAGCTTTGAAAGAAGAAATGGTTCTTGGAAAATTATTCAAATCTAGGAAAATGAATTTCTTACTCTTTTGGTCTTGAGGTCTTCAGGTTACCAAAAACATATAGAACCATATCAAATTAAACGATAAATACAAAAATACCTCTGCTTGAACCTGGACTTGGGTTTGGGTGTGCTGCTAGTCTCCGTTTTTCTTGATCTGAATGGGGTTGCTAGATCTCCTTTTCTTTGTGAAGATTTTTAGTTATCATATGATGGTTTTGGGCGCTAGCACTCATGAAATTTTTGGAGCCACTCGGGAATCACGTCATCTGTATGTCCATGAAACACATTAATCAAGGACCATAATGACATGGTCCTCTTACCGAACACAAAAATTTCTCCTAGCACCTGTTTCGCTTAAAGAATTGTCTTGCTAAAGAAGAATTTGATACCAAACAAGTTGTTAGTTCACGAGAACCGCAAAGTAGACATTAGTAAAGATACTAAACAGAGCGATACATTGAAACAAAAACAAACTTATTAAGGTATGTCACAAAATGTTTGTTAGCTATTTGGGATGGTTGTATTAATCATATTAAAATACTAGAAATTAGATTGTCATTCATAAGAAGAATACACGAATAGAATACAACAGTTTATGCTTCCAACCTGACAATTTACAAATTAAGACCTTCACATGTATATTTTCTAGACTCTCACTTAGATTGTTTCATTATCTCAATTTCACTCTCATAATCAGGCACCTGGAAAGAAAAAGGCATTGAATCAAATTTAACACAATCCTCATGTATATTGCCATTAAACGGTGTGTTGAAATCATTTTCCAATTTTCAAGTCATGTCATCGAAAAATTGTTCTACATATAAGTGTCTAATAAATGGGATCCTCTATATGTAAGTGTCTCTTACACTTAAAAGTAAAATATATTTTAAATGAATAGTGTTAGGCCATACTCATATACCATCTCTAACCGAAGGGGTTAAACATAGCCCTCTCAATAATTTATTAGTTTTAAGTTTATACTTTAAATGAACAGTATTAGACCATACTCATATATCATCTCCAACCGAATGGGCTAAACACAGCCCCCTCAATAATTTATTAGTTTTAAGTTTATACTTTAAATTTAGGTAAATACCCTAAAATGGGATAATTTCTTAATCTTGTGACAGAAATAGGACATTTCGAAGAACCCTAACTCAACCATCTTCTTCATCTAGGAGCTCTCTCTCTAACCTACCCATCTTCTTCATCCAATCTCTCTCTCTCTCTCTCTCTCTCTCTCTCTCTCTCTCTACATTTTGACCCATCTTCTTTGATTTTTACTTTTTCACTTGTAGGTTTTGTGAATTGGGTTTGCATTATTGTGCTTTTTGATTGATGACTTTTTGGTGTTGAAGTGATTGGTTTGGTGTTTCTTGGAGGAGACCTGAATCCTTCATTTTTGATTTTTGATTTTTTATCATTTCTCTGATTTATATGTGATTTTTCATTTCTTCTGTCTTTTTCCTCCCTCTGCTCCATTTCTCGATACAAATTTACAAGCACTAAAATACAGTTTGGCTTTTGCAACAATTAAATGAAAAAAACGTATTAAATGTTAGTTGCCTTTTGGAGAAGAGATAAATTTGAGGGAAAAGAGAAACATCAGAGCGGAAAGAAGGAAGAAGAGAAGGATATGGACAAAATTGCTTCGCATACTCATTCACTCTCTTCGTATTAAGCTCGCTTATACACTGTATGTACACGACATGCACATGTTATGCTCACAGATCTAAACTCAATCCAAAAACCCATAGCTCACAGCTTTCTTTAAATCAGAAAAATGAGGCAATCAGATAAATAACCCTAAACTTTATATAAAGAACTGAAGATTCATTAATTTGAATTTGGAAACAAATTTGATTGGGTTCAAATATTTCAAGGATTTGAAAATTGCAGTTTGAATAGGCACGAAAGACCCCAACTGAATCAAAGGCAATTGTTTCACAAACTTGTTCGTTTTTTTCGTATTTGCAGGGCCTGTATCTAAATCAAAGAAAAAAAATAGTAAACTACGTTAATACGAAGAGTATCAAAGATGTAAATATGCACCATACACATTATATGCACACCACATCCACTTAATATGTACAGTACATGCACTTGATATGTACAGAGCGGGAGAAACTTTAACGGCAACATATTGGTATAGTGGATACAATTAAAACATAATTGTTAAGTATATATGGTTAAAATGACGGTTTGAAAAGTCTTGGTACGTAAATCAACCACCACTTAACCGTGCACATGGAAAACATGATACTCGTTGTCATTATTTCATGGACACGCATGACCCTTAGCGTCCTTTAAGATTTTTCTGAATTTTGTTTTTCGCCGAGGCCAACTAGGTTGGGGTTATACTCGCTAAATTTTGGGACAAAACATGTGTGCATCATAACTTGTGAACATTCTTGCTTCTCATATTAAGATGTAATCATGCACACCACATGCACATTTCAGCAAAATTTTCACAAATTTCTGCAATTGGACACTTCAACCAGAAATTGTTCCATCCCAGTTTTTAGCACGTCAAAACTTGAAACTTATTCCACAACCCATACGCCTCAACATGAAAAACAAACCCTAATTTAACTTCTAAGTATTAATTCATCTTATAAACAACTCATTTATTCCATAAATCATTAATGAAGGAACTTGGAACTAAACACCATACCTTAATATGCCTGCCAAAGCTTTAGTCGCAGGGAAAAATGGAATTTTCGGCTAAAACAGAAAATATGGTACAAAACCCAGCTCACTCTTCTCACCTCTCCCTCACTTCCCCTTGTTCAAAATCAGTGGTATGAGGTCAACCCAAAACCCAGCTCACTCTTCTTGCCTCTCTTTGAAATCAGAAACCCAGAGCTCACAGAGCTCTGTCGACATCCTTCTCTTCCAAATGAGAACAGTGATGCAATGGGCTGATGATTTTTAGTATTTATATGTGGGTATTTTAGTAATTTCGATTTTGTGCATGGTGCACATGGCTTGTGCATGGCTGGTTTGTCCTATTGTTGTCCCAAGATTAAGAAATTGTCCCATTTTGGGCTATTTCCCTAAAATTTGTTGGTTAATTTAATTAAAGTACCGTTGAATGTTTTCAAATCTAGTTGTTGCATTTGAATCAATTATTGCAACTACGGAGCCGAGCTCCAAAAAAAGGTTGGGAGGAGCTACAATTGGCCAGTCTGATGCCCCCTTAGTCGAATAATAGTTTTTTGGGCTCCATAGAAATATAGTTTAGCCATCGGTTGGAGATGAGTTTTTGGGAAAATTAGGCTATATTTTGGCTTTTGGACCTTTAACCTTTTCTATTGGAGACGACCTAAGACGAAGCGTTTTTAGATTCTACATTTGTGGACAGCGACTTCGATATTAAATTAATGTAAATACATCGTTAAATTAAAAAAATATTTTAAACTTTCTTACGATCACGGCGGGCAACTGTACTCTTAACAGTAACTCCCTTCTCTTATTACAAGCTATTTTTGTAAGGTCAAGTTCTACGAACGAGCTCGTATTAATTTGTTATATAATTCTCTTATTAGTGCAACTCTTACATGAGGTGGGACCTATAAGGTCGAGTTAGATCAGCACAGATATTCGATTCTTTTGCTACAAACCAAGACAGTTATTCGATTCGATTTTGTAGGACTTTAGCACTAGCTTTGATTCTGCAGTTTTGCAATGAACTCGTCAATGTTTTTGTCAGAGCTTCCGCCTTCATCCACTGCTTTTCGGGCCAATTCTTTCCATTTTGCGGCGTTCTTCTGTATTTCTTCCCCTATCTCCCCCTCCATTACTTCACTTATACATTGTTCTACTACTTCTTGTCTCACAACCCCTTTCTCATCAGTTGGAGCTCTAACCCCGACTTTCCACACATCCATAATGTACTTGGCATTCGTACGCTGGTCACTCCACTGCGGCAACGCCACCATCGGAACCCCCAAACTCAATGCCTCCAAAGTCGAGTTCCAACCGCAATGTGTGACGAAGCATCCAACCGCCTCATGAGCCAAAACCTCCATTTGGGGGCACCACGAAACCACTAAACCCTTCTCAGATGTCTCCTCGATAAACCCTTTTGGGACCTTGGCCGCTTCTGATTCTCTAACCACCCACAAGAAACCACTTTTGCACCTCCTCAAGCCCCAAGCCAGCTCCTCCATTTGTTCATCTTCGAGTTTCGCTATGCTGCCAAACGATGCATAAGCAATGGAACCTTTTGGCCTCTTGTTTAGCCATTTTATGCAGGCATCATTGTCGGATTCGAAGAAGTTGACATTGTACTCTTTGTCACCTTTGAGTCTCTTATTCAAGTAGTTGGACGGTATAGTTGGTCCAACGGTCCTCAATCGCCAAAGCTTAGCCATCCAATCCACCACCTAAGCAGAAAAAATCAATAGCAATTAGTTTAATTTACCTGAACTAATTAAAAACTAATCAAATCAAAGATAAGGAACTGTGAATAAAAATGATTGAGAGAACTTCACAATGTACTCACTTGTTCTTCCAACTCATAAAATGTGTTGCACAGGACCCAATCAGCTTTGTCGACATTCGAGAACTGACCCACAAGCATTCTGTAGAAAGCTGGGTAAGATCTACAATCGTAGACAAACGATGGCAAGTCCAAAGGACCAAGCGCTGGCAACCCAGGAAGTGAAATTTGAGACTGACCATCAGCAAGAGGAAGCTTCAACAGCCCTCTGTGGACATGGTAGTAGACATTGTCAACAGCACAAGACTGTGTGAAGAAAACTGCCCCCGCTATTCCAAGCTTCTTGGCGACATCCAAGGGCCAAGGCATGAATGCATCATAGACAACACAATCCACGGGGGACCCTGAGTTCGAAAGCTTCTCAAGAAGCTCGGCCAAAGTTTTTGACCCCACTTGCCAGAACCTCCCCAAATAGATGTCTGTGTTTGTGTCCCCTTGTCCAGCATCATCGAAGCCATCGGAGATGGTCTCCCAAGCTGTGCTGCTCAATGCTGAGCTGTGCATTGTCTTGTAGAGAAAGCGAGTCGTCACGAGTGTGACTCTCACTCCTTTGTGATCTAGAAGCTTGGCAAATTGGAGCATCGGATTCATGTGGCCTTGGCTCGGATAGGGTAAGATCAAGCAGTGAGCCTTGTAGGCTCTCAGTTGTCCTTTCTCCATTTTCTGCTCTAAATTAGAAGCCTTGCTAGGAAATGTGTTTGAATATTTAGGAGAAAATGTAGAAGCCAATTATATAGGAGTATGAAGATTAAGTGCACAATCAGTCCACGAAACTGCAGATGTTGATTCCTTGTCAGGCAAGTCACATCTTTACACACAGGACAATTTGGAAGGTTCTTCGTTTTGAACCAAAGTAAGTTGGATACGTCTCTTTGATGCATATTAAAAGGTCCAAAAAGAGAGAGTTAATGCTAGAGAGACGTCTCTTTGATGTATCGTCTCTTTGATGCAATTTTTTTCTCTAAATTTAGTAATATTATCCAAAAGAGAAATATGGCTCTTGAAAACAAAAAGGGATCCTCGGATCCCTTTCCACTACATCCACCAATCGGGGTCCTTGAAATTTGATCCAACGGCTAAAAACAGAGACCCCCTTTAAGAAAGAATTTTCAGTGTGACAGGCACTAGGTAGTACACCACGAGTCGTTATATAAATGGTGGAATATGTATGTTAAAAAGTTAATAACTTAAATGCTTTTTATATTTTTAAAAAGTAAAGTAACCTCATTTTGCGTGAAAAATACAAAAAAGGAAAAAATTATGGTCACACGATTTTTGATCTACAGTCCATGTGCGTTGATCCCTAAGATCCCCAGGGAGGGATCCAATCCCTAGCATTGTACAAATTCTAACACCTAATATGAGTAACGGAATATACACCTTTTCCGTTGAAGATTTCGTTAAATTTAACAGGAATCACCGCCTGTCACTGTTAAAGTTAACAGTGGCACTGTTCGCCGTCGCTGGAGCTCGCCGGAGAATCGTTAACTAACCGGAACTCCACAGAAATTAAAATGAGCTCATTTCCTACATGGATTTACATCCCAAATTCGCTCATAACACCAAATAAGGGTTTAGGAATTACCCAGTCACAGATTAAAGATGAAAGAGGGTAGATTTGTCTCAGATTTCACCGGAGTTGCACTGGTGTGGGTGTGGGTTCGCTGGTTTCTGGAACTGATTGCAGATAACGCACAGAGGTGAAACACCTCGGTTTCACATGGGTTCGCACTAGAATTTCACCAGACATTCAGATAATTTCCTCAGGGCGTCATAACAGATGAAATCGAGTCAAATTCACTTCGATGCGACAAGACTTTCACTGGATTTCCTCTGCTGGTTTTCTGGAAATAATAACACCAATACATGCAGAGGCTTAATCCTTCAAATCTCTCTCATTTGCAGTAATTTTCCCTACTAAAATCTTAGAAGCTTACCCCCAGAACACCAGATTCCAAGTCGATTCGTAACATGCAGGGCTTGACGATGATGTAGGAACAAGTTTGTAAACTACCATCTAGGAAAATGGGTTCATCTAATTGAATCACAATTTGCATAGAACCACGAACCAAGTAAACACAAGAACAAGGAACCTTGAAAACTTACCTGCAGAATTCGGACCTGATGATGAAGCCATTGCAGCTTCTTGTGTTCAAAACCTTCTCCTCTTTTGCAAAACCAATGGCTCTTACAATCAATAGGCCTTGGACTAAATGAACCGTACCTTTGCAAGAGCAGCGGTTTGAACTATATATAGTGTTCCTTCGACTATTCCCTATCAGAATGCGTCTAGGATTCAAACTATATAAACCATAAGGAATCATGAGTCCAAATATAACTCAATACTAAATTCTAATCCCAAAAGAATTAGGCTATATTCTATTCTGTTATCCTGAAACCCACAAGGATAACCAAAACAGCTTTTAACAAGACTTTTCCATATCAATCTCAAACGCTATAACCGGTCCTATTATATGTTTCATACTCATACTTTTACAGATGATACCTGAGTTCCTCCCTGAATTCGGTGAGAACTATGAAGCTCCTTGTTCAGCTCCATTCCGTCCTCAAACTGGACATGCAGCACCACCATTCGATTTCCCAGCCCACGTATAAGCTTAATTTGAGGGTTTTATAGGTACGATTTAAACGGAGGTTTAGGATGGTATCATGGGGGTGGTCTGTGGCCTTCGTTCCAGAGAAGAGAAGGGATACAAGGTTTCAGATAATTGAGGGAGTTGAAGTAATAAGAGTGTTTGAGAGTATTGAGGGGAGGAAGACACGGGGAAGAAGGGGGAATTGGGGTGTGAGCCCCGCGGCCACACAAAAACCCACCATAAATAATAAAATAATATAAATATCTGAAATAATAATTTTGTAAAATTCATTTAGAGACGAAAATCGTAACATTTGGGAACAAATCGTTGCAGAATCGGTTTAAAATTGCTTTTGAAATGGGTAAATACACTTTCCATTTGCAATAGGCAGAAAAAACAAAAAAAGCGCTTTTAACTTATAGAAGTGCTTTCTAAAGAATCGTTTCAAATTAAGCAAGTGAAGATATTGATTGATCAATAAAGAAAAAGGAATGTCTCCTAGGACCATGTACATTGACCAAAAGACGTGACTTAAAAGAGAAATAGTTGAGTAGCATGTAAGAGCAGATGCAAAAGAGATACAGAGTCGGTTTAAAATTGTTTTTGGAATGGGACTAAAAACATTTTTCATTTGTATTTGGCAGAAAAATAAAGAAGTGTTTTTGTTTCATAGAGACGCTATTTCTAAAGAAGTATTTTATAAAAAATATAGCATCATAAATATAAACACTTCAAATCCAAAATTTACATATCCAAGTTCATCTCACTGGAGCAACAACATCATTCATATTTTTCACATCAGGAGTAGGGAGATTGTCTTGCTGAAGAAAAATTAGACACAAAACAATGTTGGATGTCCTTAGAGCCACTTACTTGGCTTTCACATTCTTTTAATTTTCGTGCCAAGGCTTCTTTACGAGTTACGCTTCTAAGGAGAGAATTATTGAGGACATGAGATGGGGAATTTTCAAATGTTAAAGATGCCGAGACTTGAAGTTATGAATTTGGTAAGAGTATGAGATTATTCTTTAACAACAGCAGACTACAAAATTAAAGATTAATGACAGACAGTTCAAACATTGGGTTTGATATAGTCTAACAAGAATATTATTTAGAAGTTTATAACCGATCCAAATGAATTGAATCAAAACCCTATGTGCATAGTACTAATTGAAACATCATATATGAAAACCATATCATCTTAGCACCAGCAGAAACCAGTAAGACTAGGAGAACAATGCAGCAGAACAGCTTGTATGCACATCAAGACCAAAGGGTCATCAACATATGTAACAATGATATCCACAACAACAACAACAAAGCCTTATCCTACTAAATGGGGTCGGCTACATGAATCCTATAACGCCATTGCGCTCGGTTTTGTGCCGTATCTTTTGTTAGATCTAAGTAGTCCAAATCTTTTCTTAGAGGCTCTTTCCAATTCTTCTCGGATGTCTCCTCCGCGACCTTTTGGGACCTTTGCTGCTGCTGATTCTCTAACCACCCACAAGAAATTACTATTGCTCCTATTCAATCCCCAAGCAAGCTTCTCCATTTGCTCAACTTCGAGTGTCGCTACAGTGCCAAACGATACAGAAGGGACATACTCTTTTAGCCTTCCGTTTAGCCATTTTATACCGGCATCATTGTCTTGTAAGAGATTCACACCATATTCTTTGTCATCTTCAAATCGCTTGTGCAAATACTTGGACGGTATAGTTGGTCCTACGGTCCTCAATCGCCGAAACTTAGCCATCCAATCCACCACCTAAGCAGAAAATGTGTTGCAGAGAGAGAGAGAGAGAGAGAGAGAGAGAGAGAGAGACCTTTTCTTCCAACTATAAATGTGTTGAAGAGGACCCAATCAAGTTTGTCAACATTGGAGAACTGTCCCACAGCCAGTTCATGGAAAGCCCGGTAAGAGGAAGCTTCGAAAGCCTTTCGTGGACATTGTAGTAGATGCTGTCAACGGCACAAGACTCAGTGAAGAAACCGCCCCCCGGCTATTCCAAAAGTTCTTGGCGACATCCAAAGGCCAAGGCATGAATGAATCATTAATAACACAATCAGCCGGAGAACCCGAGCTCAAAAGTTCCCAAGAAGCTCACTAAAAGTTATCGACCCAACTTTCCAGAACCTTTCCACATAGACATCTATGGATAGGGTAAAATCAAGCAGTAAGTTTTGTAGGCTCTCTGTCTTTTCTCCATTTCTCTCTCTGCACTAAACTTTAACTTGTTCTCGAATGTTTTAATTGTAAATTTAGGAGAAAATTTCGAAGCCACTTTTATAGAAGAATGAGTGAGATTTTCTTGTATGCCCGGGTAACCTTACTTTGGAGTTTTTGGCCGATAAATCCTTGGTCAAAGATCAATAACAAAATCTAACAGCTAAAAGGCTGGAGTATAAGATACGTTGAAGCATAATAGAATATTTCAAGAATGAAGATGGTGTACAATCCATCCACCAAACAGTAGATGTTGCAGCCTTCTTACGCAAGTCATGATGTGGAGTTTGCCAGTTTAGAACCAAGTAATTTCGATAGAATCCGTTGTAAGGATTTTGAGATCCGTGAATCGTGCCTGTTCATCGTACATCGTGCGGTCAGAAATCTTTTTAAATATTTTTATTTAAAATTAAACACAGACAGTACCTGATAAAAAATAACCATGAACGGACATAATTTACGAATCCCTAAGATTCTTACCAAAAGAATCCGGGGAGGATCCTGTTGGATTTCGATACATCTCATTATTGCATAAGCTTCGGAAAGAGAAATGGTTCTTGGAAAAAAAATAAAATAAACATCTCAAATTAAATGATAAAGAAAAAAAATAAAAATAAAAATAAAACTCTGTTTTAACCTGGACTAGGGTCTCGGTGTGCTGCTAGTCTCCATTTTACTTGATCTGAATTGGGTTGCCAGACGCCCGTTTCCTTGTGAAGATTTTTCGTTATATTGGTTTTGGGCGCTGGCACTCTATGGAATTTTTTAATCCACGCGGAAAACACTTCATCTGTACGCCCATGAAACACAATTACACAAGAACCAGAATGATGCGGTCCTCTTACAGGACACAAAAATTTCTCCTAATAGGCTAGCACCCACTTCGCCGCGCTGAAAGAATTGTCTTGCTGAAGAAGAATTAGATACCAAAGTTGTTAGTTCACGAGAACCCGCAAAGTCGATCATATGAAATTGGGATTGTCCCTGATGATGTGTGTCAAGGAGACCGATACAATTGAGATTTCAATAGGAAGACTCAATCAAACTGAAGATGAGTTGATCTCCATGTAAAGGAGTTGGTTTTTGCATTGCATGAACCACATGGATTGCCTTGTACATTGAATGATGATAAGGGTTGCAAGCAAGAAATAAATAGTTGGAGCTCCTCCTTCCATAAACAGCTGAAGTTGCTCCAATTGCGGTTTGAAGTTAAGAGTGGAGGAGATGAGGAATTTTTGAATCTTAAAAGGGTACCAAGACTCGATCGCTTAAGACTAAAGCAACACTAGGGGAATGTTCAACTTGTCTTTTGAATTTTTGATTTGTGGGTATCGTTACAACGACTATTCACAAATGTGGTTCAGTTCAGTCTAGACAGAATGTTAGCTTGAAAAACAAGAAGTTGCCTGTTGGCATACACGGTACTATCGTCTCAGCACCGGCAGAAATAAGTAAATATTCAGCAGAGCAGCTTATATGCACATCAAAAACAGACAGACCTACACCAAAACTACAGAACTTGACTTTAAATTATATCCAAAATCCAACGGTAATCAACATAAGTAACAACAAACGTATGCATCAACAAGAAGAACAAAAAAAAGCTAAAGTTTACGATAATTTAGTCTTAATACTAGCTGGAGATTAAACAATATGCTTATTATATATACTATGCATATGAAACATGAACCTGCAGCTTCAGTTCCAGCAACCTTCAAACCACCAGATTAGATATTGAACCCTCCCAGACTGCCCAGATTGCAGTTGGGTGAAAAATTACGCCGCATATAAGATATTCGGGGTTGTTGTAGAGGATGTGCTTGTCCAGTAGGATCAACGGCACCTAGGAGTGGAAAGCGGTCATAATCCCCACCAATTATTCCACCAATCCTTGGAGGTACAAGTGGGTTATGGTCCCTCCTGATATGGTTGGAATAAGGCGTCTCAATTGATCTCCACATCACTACTGCTTTCATTTGTTGCTTCCTAGTCTCCCAATTTCCAACAAACCTAAACTTCCAGTTAGTCACTGTTCCCTCACCTCCAGTTCTTTCTCCTTTGCTGCCATTACCGAACTCCTCAGCATACTTCTGCTTCCACAATTCATCATTATTAGCATGATTTTGCAGCTCCTTACAAACACAACCCACCTTGGCAACGTCGACACCAGGCAGTGGCTCCAGAATCTTCATTTTGAGCTCCGGTGGAAGGCGCATAAGGCTCGGTGGGGCGGGCAAACCCGCCATTGCGCAAAGATCAATCAGCAATGGAAATGTGATCCCATCTTTCACAATCTTCCAAAACTCTAAAACTTCTCTCTCTGGGGCTAACCCATCTCTCTCATGCACATTTTGGTTTTCCCAAATGAATTCGATCATTGGGGCAAATCTGTTTTTGTCCAAACATATCTGATGGGGTGAAGAACCGCCAAAGGCCAAAGACCCATAAACATTCACAAAATGCCCCAAATTCTGAAACTTAAACACAACCCCTTCAACCCCATTACGATCACTGCCCCGATTTCGCAAAAGCTCCGGCAAAGTATATGAAAGCGAAATCGTTGAACCCGTCCTTTGATTGGCCAACATACTCGAAAGTGAATCGAACCCAACGAAACCAGACTCTAATAGCACAGCATGTACAGAAATCAACAATAGCTTATGATGATTGCTACGATCCTCTCCCAACTCCTCCCTCAGTACCCGCTTCAAGAAAAAAGGAACCGAGTACCTTTCCAACCCTAGCCCATCAGACGGATCATCAATTTCCATACTTCGGGCACCAGAAACTACCAGGGTTTCCGAATTGGAACCTCCAGACCTCGGATCTTCACCAATCAAATCGTCCATAACACCCCCTTTGTCAATTAGGGTTTCGGAGTTACGGAAATGCGAACATTGGGGCTCAATTCGATTTGGGGATTCTGCGGAGGAGTGCAAATTTGGATGGGAAGGCAAAGCTAGGGTTTGGGAGGAGGGGTCGAGGG